TAAAGTTTTCAAACGAAAATTTTTGGGTTGTATTTTTGAGATGTTACATTATGATGCAAAATGTTGTCTATGATCTAATCACACAAGATATAAAATTTTGGATCTTTATCATTTTTTAAATATATAATTATAAGTCAATATTATATGAACAAGAAATAAAATATGCAAAATTTATGATTCACATGGTCTACGGACCAAAATATAATTTGAATCATAAAATTTTGGATCATGCCTATAGTAATTGAAATTTATGATCCAAAATTTGTAATTCAAAAGTTACGATACAAAAGGTTGTTTGTGATCCAAAATACAAGTTATCAAAGTTTTTGTATTTACCATTATTGAAGTATTAATTTGAAGTAATGTTATATTTAGAAAAGATTAATGATCGGAGTTTTTCTAAATTATGATTCAAAATAATATTTTAGATCATTATTTTTTCTATATAACACTCACGAATTCCAAATAAGTATTTTTAATCCTTACACATTATATTTCATAATTCACGACAAAAGATTCATATTTCATAATTCACGACAAAAGATTCAGTACATGGAGTGGTTCATTTTGGTTTTTATTTACCATCTTGGGCTTTTACGAATATGTTCATTTTTTCAATATAGTTAAAACTCAAAATGAAGAATATATGTTGCATAATATATGTGATCAAAAAACGTTTTTAATCAAAATAAAATATTTTTATAACATCCAATTATAAACCGTGATAAAAAAAACGATATTAAATTGATCCATGATCAAAACAAAACATTATTATGACCCATAAAAGTAGAATAAGAAAATGAGTTCCTCACACCCAAACATAAAGATTCTAACCAAAACCAAAGATGATTCTGAGCTAATGTTGTTTACCATATCAGACAAAAAATCTACAATCTGCAAACAAACAAATTAAAATATTTGAAAGCCCTTCACAACACTTTTATTGAATGAACCGTCACTTCAACTTCAAGTAAATGACCTTTACTATAAATTTTCTTCTTGTTGTAGCTTGTGAGATTATAATAATCCTACAAAGTTTACACGCATTAAAATCTGACAACAAAATCTTACCAAGACATTTCTTCCTCAAATCTACTAATTTCAAGTTTTGAACTTAGGTAATAAATCGCAATCAAGTTTATCCATCTCATTTCAATTATTTTAAAAGGGGCAATCTCTTCCTTTTTTTACAAGACTCTACACATAAAAAAGTTAACTATTCAGTGGCTTCAAAGAAATAATCCAATAATCAACTATTCGGTCATTTCAAACAGATAATCCAATTGCTTCTGATTCACAATAATTGTATTCAATCCACAATATAAAATTAAGTGTTTCAAATTACAAAGGGAAACTAAAATATAAAACTAAAAAGCTAAACTAGACACATTATGGATAACAGAACAAGAAAGTTCATATGGATTATGAAGATTTGTTGTTTGAATATAAATACACTATGCATAACAGAATATCAATCAACAATGAACACCAAACTATGATTTATCTGCTAAAACAAAACAACATTATATAAAATAAAAAATAATCAACAATATATACCTAAAATACTTGAAGTGACAAATAGAACCAATATGTTTAACCGTAACTTCAACATCATGCAAATCAACTTCACTCTAATTCTATTTATTCTTGTAAGTTTTGAACTGTTCAAAGTCCTCCAAATTTGTCAAAAAATAAGGTCTGCACAAACTATAGTCAGACAACAATATCTCACCAATACACTTCTTTCTTATCTAATCAACTTGTGGTTTTTGTTCATCTCACTCACATTTAAAATCACCATCAAGATTATCTTTTCTACCACCCCTGTAAACTTCTATATGACTTATTAGAAACAAATCACATTAACATACTCATTAAGTCTATTCATTAAGTCCAAAATCATTTATTTTTATCATAACATAAAGTTATGATACAAACTTTGTTTTAACATGTTAAATGTATCTATCACTTTGTCTACAAGTTAACTTCAAGAAAAACTATTCATTATCCTTATAAAACAACTACATCGGTGCTTATTACATATAAATAAATGAAAACAACAAGAAAATCTTTAAGAATTCAAAATTTTCAAGATGTGGTTTCTTTGAGACATTAAATCGACCACCTTGAAAGCATCCTTATGCTCAACATCACTTTGATGTTTTTATATAACTTTTCCATAAAAAAGTATCTTCAAAACTCAAAACTTGAACAAATTAATATGATAATTCAATCTCATAAAGCTAAAATCAACAAGAAGATGGATTTATGTTCAAACAAGAGAATTGTAGATAAACTTACATAGCATCAAAACACATAATAAAAATGATAAATCAGTTCATAAATCTCATGTGTCAAACAACAAATCTAAATCAGAAAAACTAGGGTTTCAAACAACAACAAAATATCTTTACCTTTACCTAACAACAAAATATCAAAGAATAAACATCAAACATAAGTTCCTCAACTTATAGTTGATAAAATCGCTCATGAAATTCTAGCATAAAACACAACTACTTGAAAATATAAGTAAGCAAACAAGTTTCCGTGCTTCCATTGATGTGCAACGTGACGAAAAAACACAAACACAGTCGATGTTGGAATAAACCGAAGAATTGAGCACCCATAACTCGACGATGGAATAAATCGAAGCTTTTAAATCGATAGAACAACAACGAAGGAACAAAAGACAAGGATCCTCGTTCCAATTTTGAGTAAAAACCTTTGAAGTTTGAAGATCTGGGGAGAAAAAGATACGCTCATATGTATCGGATTAAAAGTAAGGGTGGGAACTTTCGACCCAACCCGTAAACCGATACTGACCCAACCCGAAAATAGACGGGTTTGGATTGAGATTTTTGACCCGCCAGCTCATCAACCCGCCAACCCACCAACCCTTTTATTTCATGGGTTAGGTTGGGTTATCTGTTTGCGTTCGCGGGTCAACCCGCCAACCCGTATATATATATATATATATATTACATTTAAAAAAATTATATATTTAATTATTAACTAGAAAGGTTACCCCCGCTACGCGGGGGCCAGAAGCTTTATGTTGTTTCCGAATTGATAAATATGACAGACATAGAAAGTGCAAGGATGAAAAGTCCGGGCTTTGCCCCGGACAAAAAATGTAAAAGTTTTGACTGCAAGAACCAGAAGTGTGAAAATGGCTAAAGAATTAAAGGGGTAGGAATTAGCAACTTTTTAGAAAATGGATCAAAGTTGTCAAACCGTTAAAGTTTTGTGGCCAAACTTTAAATATTAAAAGGTTCCAAAAAAATATAAAAATATTGATTGTAAGGACCAAAAGTGTCAAAATGGGTAAAGAATAATAACCAAAGTTGCCAAAAAACATCCAAATTTAGTATTCCTAACTTCCAACAATAATACAGGGACCAATTCTGCCAAAAAAATGGGAAGTTGAATGGAACACAAACAAAAGGACATGAATAAATTAATTAAAGAAGTACAGGGACCGGATATGTAAATCAAGAGACCAAACTTGGACAAAGTATCCCAAGTTTACTATTCATTTCTTCCACAACTTTAATATATATATAATAATGAAATTTGATTTTCATTCGTATTCGTAATACTCTGTATCATTGTATTCCTTCCGTATTCGTATGTTACTAATCTGCATTTGCGGTTCGTTAATCAGAAAAAGAAAAAATACATGTCGTTATTTTCACGAGTCACGAACGAAGAACACATCCACTTTCTATGAATGTTTTCGTTTTTCATTTTTATTTGGATGTTATTGACTTTATTAATTTATGTTGAAAACCTTTTTTTATGTTAATTACTTTAATCATTTTATGAATTTATGTTGAAAAAACCTTACTTTTTAAAATGTGTTGCTTATTTATTATACGGGTTATATGGGTTGGGTTTGACCTATTAACTTGTGAACCCGCGAACCCATATACTTAAACGGGTTATATGGGTTGGGTTGGGTTGAAATTTCCAACCCACCAACCCGTGACCCGCCAACCCGTCAACCCATATATTATATGAGTTGGGTTGAGTTTATGTTTTCTGACCCGCCAACCCGCCAACCCGAACCCAACCCAATTGTCAGGCCTAATTAGAAGTGTTAAATGACCATAAGACCCTCAGACCCTGAGATAGTTTGCCCTTACTAGGAAAACTACAAAAAGTTCATGTTATTCACAAGTTTGCCACCGCCATTTTGAAAAAATAAATAAATAATTCTTATTTAACTCTTCTTGGGTATTAGCTAGTGCCTTACTAGTTTGATTTAAATCATTCTGAAGAATAAATAATAGAAAAAATTATATAAATTAAGTAACAATATATGAAATCCAACAACCATGTATGTCAACTAGTAGCATTTTACCCGGGTAGAATTAAGTTTAGGGATAATGACTTGATAGGGTAAGATACTTTTTGAAATGTACACATTTAGTCTTTATTCTTTTTTTTTGTAAAATAAACCCTTATACTTTATTAATATGTACACATTAGGTCATTTTCACCGGATTCTACAGGTTTTGCTGACGTGGAAGGGTTTATTTTACAAAAAAAAAAGAATAAGGACTAAATGTGTACATTTCAAAAAGTATCTTACCCTATCAAGTCATTTTCCCTTTCTTTCATTTTGTTGAAATGAAATACTCAGGTGGCATCCACATATCCACAACGAGATTTTTCCAACTTTTATTTATCATGAAAAAGAGGGAGAACCCTATGTAATTCTTCATATTGTTGTTTATTCAACAAAAGAAAAGAGACAATAATAATAAGTGAACCATATGTTTTGTCCCAAAATAAAGAGTAAAATGTAATACCTTCTCTTGGTTTTCTTTTTTGACTTCCATTTGTTCAATCTGATTTGCCATTGACTAAACAAAAAGAGAATGTTAAAAATGTATATTCATTTAATTTAAACTTTAAAGAATAAAATAAGATTATATGAAGCCTCAAGAAATGTTACATCAAGGGTAAAAAATGTCCAGTACTAGATAGTATCGTTTTTAGGCGCATTTTTTTGGACTAAGAAAAAACGACGGCCACAAGAATTCATTCATGGAGGAATCCGCTACCTCATTAACCGGCGAATCTGATATTCTTGAATATCTCGCCGACCGTTACAAGAAATCCCGCTCACCTCATCACCGCCAGCTCTACGCAGCTGCTGCCTATACCCGATGTATGATAAAATCTAAATCTCTGCCCGTCACTCCGCTCAATTACTTCGTTAACATCATTGACGCCCTCTATGATTCCTCATGTTCTCATACCTTCTCTAATGCAACCTTTAATGCTGATGCAATGTCTGGGATGTCTTCGTTTTTGGCGTTTGTGTTGACTCTGGTTCCTGAGAAGTCTATATCCATGTCCAAGGCGGCTGAGGCTGTGGAGATTGTGGTTAAGTGTTTGCAGGTTTCGATTGTGAGTTTGAGGGTTTTGAGATTGGTCGAGTGTTTGAGGGTATTGCTGGAGTTTTGTGATTTGGGAGATTGGGATACTGTTAAATTAGGTTTCCAGATACTCATCAAGTATTCAATAGATAATAAAGATCAAAAGGTATATTGTCTCGTTCCTATATTGTGAATTTGTGACAATAATCAATGGTTATAATAGTAAATTGCTTAATGCCAAATGTGCAGGTTACAAAATGTGCTGAACATTGTGTTTTGAAGGTCTTCAAGTGTTTCCAAAATTCTATTGTCAAAGAAAGTGCAACCAGATTGGTGTTAGATACATTTAGAAACTATATGTTGGCAGTTGATGGATCTAAAGATGATGAAGGATCAAAATGTGAACACTTGAAGGCTCTTCACATGTTGGATCTGTTGAAAAATTTCATCCCTTGTTTAACAAAACCCGAAGACATGCAGGAAGTGATATTAGAATTACAAAAGTGTATGACTGCCAAGTTCTCAACACTGTATGTTTTAGATGTAATGGAGGAGATACTTGCATTCATTGAATCTGAATCCGAACATACATTCGTAAAGACCGTGAAGATATCAAACAAATGGAAAAGTGATTATTCCTTACTCATTCAGTCTATAACAGGTAGACATCTACCCTAGTAAATAAATATCATTTTAGACAAATGGCACATTCTCTGAGAATTTTAGAATTATTTTTGCCGGTTGTCAGTTTATGGTGTTTTCCATTTTCATTTAATTGCCACATCACTATATTTATTATTATGGGAATGGGAATAATGCCAATTGTAATTTTGTTAATTCCTTATTTAGTTTGCTAAATGCCAACGCGAAGTTTATGCTTTCTAATTACAATGATAGATATATTAAACTAAAATCAAGCTATGAATATGATAATGAACAAGTTGTTGAGTCTGATAGTTTACAAAAGGAGGACCAAGCCACGTGGAAGGGAATAATTCTGTTAGTTAGACAAGTTTGTTAGGGAAATAGATCTATATAGGTCAGGATGACGATATGATTATATTATTTTGAATGTGGTTTTAGGTCTTTTGACATGTGAGGCTACTGCTGCAAGGGCTTCAAATATCTTAAAAGAAATGTTTTCCCGTGTAATTTTCAGTGAAGTGGAACTTAATGATGAATCTGAGCAATCAAGTATAGTGAGATCCTTATGTGATTCACTTTCAGAAGTTGTGAGTACCTATCCAAATGAATATACTTTGAGTGTCATCTCTGCTTTATTTCTCCATCTTGGTATGTCCGTTTACTAGCTTAGCTTTATGTATCATTAAGTACTTGTTACTTACTAATCTTTGTGTTATATTTGTGATATGTTGTAGGGTTAGACTCTTTTATCTACATGGACAAGATTTTTATGAAGACTGTTGGTTTTATGTCAGATGCATCTACTTGTACTTGTGATGTAAAACATGTAAGTTTGACATTTATGTTTTGTTTTTTTTTTTTTTTTAACATAATATTGATATTTGATATTTACAGTTTGAGCATTGTATCGGGTCTGCTGTAATGGTTATGGGCCCGGATGAAATACACACATTGTATCCTCTCTCGTTTGATGCAAATGAGCAGACTTGCTCAAATACTTGGTTGTTACCTATCTATAAGGAGTATGTCATATATTCACATGTGCGGTTTTTCATCACAACTATAGTGCCTCTATCTGAATCCTTGAGAAAAGCGTGTAAAAGAGGTAGTTCAAACTGTGTATAACGGTTTTGGATTTTATAATGACATCATAAGTTTTTTTTTTCAAGGTAAAAAGATGGCAGTAAAAAGAAAGCAGATGCAGTCCCTTTCACGTACTTGTTGGGAATTACTGCCTTCTTTTTGTCGCTATCCGCATGATTTGGAGGAAAGTTTTGGATCCTTGGCCGAGATTTTAATTCCAAACATCAAAGAAAATGCCTCTATGCTTGAGAGCATTGCTATTGCACTGCAGGTAATAAATAATTCTAATTTATATTTTTTATTCTTTTTAACTATATTTTTTTTCCCTTTTCTGTAGTGTCTTGTGAAGCAAAACATGAGCTTAAGTTTGAGTTTCCCTGGAAGTTCCGGAGTTATAGATATGGGAATTGAAAAAGAAAACGCAGAGAGAAACATCAAGGTTATGGCATCATGTTCAGAGGCATTATTGAAGGCTTTTACCAAAGTTTTCTTTCAGGTGTCGCCTGAGAAACGTTCTTTTCTAAAGGTCATAATCATAATAATTTCGTCAATTCACCAAATTTTATTTTATTTATTTACTCCCTGGTTTCTGATCTGACTTCATATATAATACACATTCACAGGAAACAATTGGATGCTTAGCAAATATCGCTGAATTCTCAACATCAAAGGCAATTTTTATTTCATCTCTTGAAAGAGTGAAGCCGGATCAGAAAAATGCCAACATAGGTCTGATACATGAACTAGCATCAGCACTTGTTGCTGATGTTGGAATGGATCCAATAGATTTTATATACTGCTGTATAGGGGATTGTTTGAAGGTAGGTTTGTTTTTTTTTTTTTTTTAGAATCATACTATCAAACCTTATATACCCTGGATTTTTATGTAGGAAGATGATGAGGAAGTGTATGCCAATCTTTACATACTTTTAGTAAGGACTAAGGACCACACCATTACTAGTTATTCTTTTAGATAATGTGTCTCATTTTTGTTTTTGCTTTAAATATTCAGGAATGTTTTGAGTTCATGTCTTCAAGATTCGAGCAACTTGTGGATTTGTTACGTGATTTGAAGTCCCCTGTGGATATAGTTTCATTTAGATGGCGGTTTGTGTGCTTAAAGACGTTGCTATTTCACTCATTTGAGGTTATATTCTCTTTTAGAGAACTTGTGATATATCATGTCAAATTGCCTCTAATTGCTAATGAATTTCTTCTGTAGAGAACTTGTGATGGAGAGAACAAGTATGGTGTTCGGGTGCTCAATGAAATCATTGTGACACTAAAAGATGTAAGATCTACTTTTGATTTTGATCTACAGGACAAGGGGGAAAGGAGAAAAGTGGCATATGACATTCTTCTAGATACAAGTTCCATGATGCAATCCAAACCAGGAACTTATTATAAATTCATCACCATGGTAAGATAATCTTACCACTCAATATATATATATATATATATATATATATATATATTAAACTTAGTTTCTGAAATGAAAACATTCAACTTTTCAAGTTTTCAGATGATGGGGTATCTCTTTGGGTTTTCTCCTTGCATTACAAGTGGTGCAATCCTTGCATTGTCTATTATGTTATCCAACGACTCAAAAATCTGCGAATTGAAGCCCGATCTTGTGCCAGAAATCCTTGAGTTGCTGGATAGGGAAGAAGACATACAAGTTGCACAAGTAAGTATTTCTTATCTTAGCTATAGAGACTAGAGTTTCTACTATTGATCAATCTAATTTAGTTTATATATATATATATATATATATATATATATATATATATATATATATATATATATATGGTTGTCAGGCTGTTTTATGGTTTCTAAAGATGCTGGTTTTGAGCCTTGAAGTGGCACAACTGAAGATGGTCCTATGTGATATTCTGAATGGACTTCAATCTTGGTCATTTGTATGTGTTAAATTATGGATTCACTCACATGTATGCCATACATACTCATGATTATTATCATGTTACAGGTTCCGGAGATTTTGATGCTGGAAGGTGGTTTTAGGAATGTGTTTGAGGTAACAATCACATACATCACCATTTGATTTTATGTTGTTGTATTCACGAGTTGTTAAATTACAGAATCGTACAACTTCCCTGGTGGAAGAAGGCAAGGAAACAAGCAGATCACCTCAACATGATTTCAAAGCAACTGTATGTATGTGTTAAATTATAGATAGATACACACAACGTGTGTATATATATATATATATATATATATATATATATATATATATATATATATATATATATACTCATATGTTTACAATTACAGGTGAATGAAATTTTGGAAAATATTGTGCAAAAATGTGGTTCTGCATCAGTTGAATCTCTTGTACCTATAGGTTTTAGGATATGTTTGGAGGTAACAATCACATCTACAAATTGATTTATTTTATGCATGAAATGTTGTTGTATTCATGAGTTGTTAAATTACAGAATCTTCCAAGTTCCCCCGAAGAAGGCAAGGAATCTCCTAGAAATCAAGCGAAGAACACAGCAGCTTGAAACAATTTTCTTAATCATATCCCAAAAGAAATTACAATGCAATGCATAAATAGAACTATCAGCTAGAAAACATGGAAACATGACCTAAAAAGAAGAAACGTGACTATGACCAGTTCCTGTGAAGAACGTGGTCTCCTACATGATGCAAACAACAAGAAGTAATGAAGACTAGGGTTAATTTCTACTTTATTCATGGAAACGAGCTAGAAGTATTTCAATTGGGATTTGTGTTGCAGGTGAAGGTGGGGCTGTTGTAGTTGGGGTCGTATCATCAGGTGAGAGTTGTAGATTTTGCTAAACCTTTGAAAAAGTTATAGATCGCATCTTGTGGTTTATAAAATTATCGGTTCATATAAAATAAATTTGGTCCCTCTTGTGTTTCAAATTTGCATTGAACATCCAAAAAGAAGTTTTTTTTAGTAGATTTGGTCTCTCATAAGCATGAATTTATTATTATATCATTTTGATTTGTTTTTTACATTCTTAAACATTTATTTTAATACAATTATAAAATAAAAAGGATCTCACACACCCATATTCCAACACATCCCCACCACAACCTTTACTTCCATCTGCAACCTTATCATCTCCCGTCCACCAACGCCTCACCGTCACGACCAACTCCCTCCCTCACTTTCTTTACCATTTCCACACCAATGAAATAAAAAATCGCAAAAGGAAAATGTATCTCAGTTTGTATAGTTTAGGGGTTTTGTTATGTATTTTTAGAGCTTGTTGCGGTGTTCTTGGAAAAATTTAGGTTAACCTATAATATCTTTGTTAAATTGATTTGGGTTTGTGTTTTTTGTCGGATCGATTTATAGACTCATAGATGTCTCTAGTTTTCTTTTCTCATACCAAGTATGATTTTGAATTTTTATTTAATATAAAAAGTATTTTGTTATACCTTTTTTTAATTAATTTGTTAGTTTTTTATATTTGAAAATATAAAAACTAATTTATTTTACTTGTTGATTTGTTTGTTTGATATGGATTTGGGAGATGTTTCCCTTGCTATCGAGAATGATTTTTTCTACATCATCAAGGTAGATTGATACTACATATGCAAGCTCGGGAGCCGCTAAAGCGGATGATTTGGGAGGATGTATGATGGGATGTGAATCAACCCCTGACAAAAGCCAAAAACTTGATGTGTACAAATCACGTTTTTAAATTTATAAAACCAAATTTATTTAAAATTAACTACAACATAATTGGGTAAGTGTGACCCAATCATATATTAGTATAGAGCTGGTAAGAACAGGTGTCGAACCCAATGGGAACCCATTGATGATAAAGAGGGGATAATTGATTATTAAACTCAAATAAAGAAAACATAAATCAAAACAAAGATAAACTTATTAGAAACAAATGACTTCAGGTACTTTGACTCAAACTCGACTACACCTTAAGTTATGGTTGATTTCTATGCATGCAATGGATATTACTTCATTATTCATCGATTCCTAATGTTGTTAAGCCTCTTGGTCAGATTCTAACCCTAATGATCATAAAGAATTAAAGTTCATGCCTTCTTGACCTAACCCTAGGATTTGGTCGATCGCTAGTCATAACAGATTTAATGTCCTTAAAACTATTATGATTCAAGAAAACTTGATCCTCTAACCACATAAAGTCAACAATAGGTAACATTGAACAACCTTTAACACATACGGAGTTTTATCAAACTTGACACAATAAATTAAATAATTATTAAAATCCAACATAGAAAATCAAACCAAAATCTCAAGGTCTCATCTACATCTAAGAACAAAGCAAAGGGTTGAAGTATCCAAGTCAGAAAGTAAAACATAACTAAATTTGCAAAAAACGTTAAACATGGTCATAAAGCAAATCATATGAATTCCCAAACGTTTCTACTCTCCGATCCTTCAAATCTTTATTCCTTATAAGCTTAACGGGCCTTTGGCTGCCTTCTAGACTCTCAAAATGTTTGTTCAGAGGTTTCGTGTCGACCAAGGTGTGGTATTAGGGTTGATGGATCAATAGGTTAAAGATAACACCTCGATTTATAAGGAAATTGTTGACCCGTCAAACGCGACGCGTTAATTAAGTGGGTGCGTCGCGTCTAGAAAATTGCACGTATCCTCCAAGTAATCCTTGTGGACGCGGCACATTTGATAAAGGGATGTGATGCATCTCGCACTATTTAGTAATCTTCGATCCAATCCAGCTTTTGGCTCCATTTTAGCTCCTTTTCATCCAACATTAATAATCTGCAAAGTAACAATTCAAAGCATTTTAAGTACATTTTGTCCTATTTATCATAAAAATATAGTATAAATGTACTTGACTCAACATGACGATGATGTGTTTGACAACAATGTTATTATTTTTATGTATGTCATATATACATTATAAGTTAAATATATAATCGTAACAATAAATTTAGGAGTGCAATCGGCCAAAGTTGAGATTTAGATTAATTCAATAAGATATTGATGCACCCTATTGTAGTCACCTTATTCATTTTCTAACCGGTGAAACTTCCCCAGTGTTGTCCCTCGATGCCTTCACCAGCACAATAAAAGAAATCTAGAGTTGAGGACGACGAAGCATTATCGAGTCCTTTGTCTTCAAGTACATAAGAACCTCCACAGACTCTTGACCACAACCATCACAATCATCCATAGACCTAGGAGTTGTGATGGAGTTAAAAAAATGTTTTAGCATAAATTTTACAACACATAACTTCTTGACTCTTTTTCCTTAACACATCAATCCATATTTTACACGCTTCCATTCTTTGTGCAAAGTATGGAAAGTCTACTATATCATAATTCAACCAAATTAAAATTAATACAAACATCTCATTAGTTTCCTAAAACTCATAGCTTAACATTTATAGATGGAACGATCTCCAAAATGGTCAAAATACAATATGTTTATAGATGTCATCCCCTAAATGGTCATAAATTTTATTGTAAACTAATCGTTAACTTATCATATCACATCATATCATATTTTCTCAAATTGACATCGCAATTTCACAAAAGACACTGCGAAATTAATACTTGTTTTTGCAAATTTTCGAACATTTTTGTTTCAAAAATATTAGAATGAAATGTCTTGTTTAAAAACTATCACAATTATTCTACTAGAATTTATAATATTAAAATATATTTTTAATGTAACCTTATAGTGTATGGTTGGAGGTAAAAAATGTTTTAGCATAAATTTTGTGACAACCCCAATTTCAGGGCCAGAAAAGACCGATTTGTTTATGCTTTGTTTTTAAAATCAGAGTAATCGTTTAAAGAAAACTGTTGCGGAATTTGTTCCCAAAACAAAATATGATAAGAATTTATCAAAACATTTCTTAAAGAAATGTATTTTCATTATATAACAAAATCTTGGGATGTCATGTTCCGATACAGACCAAAAGCATAAACAGAACAAAAATAGACCTTACAACAGTTATTTATAACTACTGGCCTATAATCCAACATCTCTCGATATGTCAGCCAACTTATGATCTCGTGCCATAACCTGTAATACAAAGAAAACTGAGTGGGTCAGGCTTGGGAGTCTGGTGAGCATATAGGGTTTTCATCCCATAATGTTATATATATATATATATATATATATATATATATATATATATATATATATATATATATATATATATAACATCCAAACTTATACAATTTCACCATATAAAAACAACTCTTATCCCACCCCCTCGATCCTCACAACGACACGATATAAACTCTCGTATCTAAAATTTTCCTTTTTACCTGATCCCTACCCACGGATCTAAAACTAACCTCTTCACCTGATCCATACTCCTGAATCTAAAACTAACCTCCTGATCTGATCCATACTCCCGGATCTAAAACTAACCTCCTGATCTGATCCATACTCCCGGATCTAAAACTGTGCCCAATCCATACTCCCGGACTAGGGACAATTAACATTGTCTTAATCCATACTCTCGGATTAATAACAAGTTTATCTCTTTGCCTGATCCATACTCCCGGATTTAAAACTAACCTCTTGATCTGATCCATACTCCCAGATCTAAAACTAACATCTTGATCTGATCCATACTCCCGGATCTAAAACTGTGCCCAATCCATACTCCCGGACTAGGGACAATTAACTATGTCTTAATCCATACTCCCGGCTTAATAACAAGTTATCTCTTTACCTGATCCCTACTCACGGATCTAAAACTAACCTCTTCATCCTTTTATCTCATTATCCAACTCATCTTTTATCACACACCAACAATCTCATCTACCCATGTTCTACCCAACATATTTGTAGATATAAAATACATATACAGTTTAACTCATTTGAAACCTATATAAAACATCCATTCAACACACATCTCAAATAAACAACAATATGTAAACACATAGCACGTTTTGCATAGAAAATACTTCATATTTATGTGTTAGAAGAAAGTAACTACACACTCACACATAACATAGATGTAATACATTCAACCAATACTTGTATTAAAATCGTGTTTATGAAAGAGACTATGCACTCACCATATAAGACGATTATCGGACAGCACTACGGCTCTTCAAGTAGTATTTCTTCGGTGAAACCAGAATATCTTCACATACCGGGTTTCCCGCGGGCAGAGCTTGAGCTTGAAAACTCTTTTCTTCTCGGGATCTTCGGAGCTTCGGGACCCGCTTCGGGTCTCGGGATGATACCGGGGCTTCGGGGGTACTTTAAGACCGCTAGAGAGGGTATCGAAAGTGAGAGAGTGAAGGAATTAGCAACCATGGGCGGCTGCCCTTCGGTTTCTATTTATAGGGCAAAAATCCCATGCTCACGTCGTGAGTTTCAAGTGCTCACGTCGTGAGCTCGACCATCATCCGGTGCGTCATCGCAACTTGGGTCTACAGGCTCCGAAGGGGTCAAATCTCATAGTTCACGTCGTGAACCTACTGTTCACGTCGTGAACCCTGACACAGTGTCGGTTTTCGTGCCTCGAACTTCAGAAATTCATATCTTTCACATACGAGCTCCATTTTCGACAATCTTTATATCCACGCGTAGGTGAGATTATGCTCTACAACTCTCGTTTAGAATCCGTCGGCTAATTTTGACTTTATTTTTATTATATTATTTTTAGTAGGTTGGGACAGGAAAAGTCCGCTACTAAATCATAACTTCTTCATCCGACGTCCGTTTTCGTCTGTCTTTTTACCGTTGCACTACTATCGACGAGATCTTCGATTCTCATTTAGATCGTTTCGGCTAAAAATCACTTCATCGTAAATTCACTATTTACGTCGCGCTGTGTCGCGCCGGTTCTGTCGCGAAACTTCGATAGGTCATAACTTCTTCGTTATAACTCAGATTTC